TATTGAAAAGATGAAGATGAATTTTGAAATTTTGAATCTCTTCAATGGTTTCTTGATGAATCTCCACTTGCGCCTTCTCTTCTTTGCCCAAAAATCAAGTTTGAATCTTCACTTGATTGAATTCTTGCAAATCTTCTTCAATTCTTTCACAAAAACAATGAATTCTCCTACTTTGATGATAATAATTGATGAGTATTGGAGTATAATATGTATATCAGAGCTCCCCCATACATATTTTGCTATTTTGTATTTGTAGGAGTCGAAAATTGGTTGAAAATCACGTCCAAATTGACTTCCAAAAGAGTTCCAATCGAATAAGGAAAGTTATCTTTGCGCACTGATTTTTTTCTCTCTGCACAGCATTCAGTATTTTGACCATAACTTTCTCTCCCGATATCCAATTGAAGCAATTCAATATGCGTTGGAAATATAACGCAATGTAACCTTTATAGAAATAGAGTTTTCCGAATTCAGACGTTTACTATGCCAAAAATGGGTCTCACTCTTTGACTAAAAATCTGGAATATAACTTGTGCGATTGGAAATTGATTTTAATCATATTCCATTTCTTTTTGAGTTCTAATTCCATCCAATTTTCTCCTAGCAATTTTCAAAACATCTTTTTGTGTTCGGATCAACTATTGAATAATTACAATTTGGTCATCAAACTTTAAATTTCGCCATTTTTCGCTCCTTTCTTTCAATCCCTTGTTTAACAATTGAGTTTTACCTATATGACATAAAATACAACAATTTAAGGTATGTTTTGTTAGAAAAAATATTAAATATCGCTATTTTAGACTCCGAATAAGTGTATAAAATACACTTATCAATAGACGCAAATGCAAATATGGTGAGACAGAGTTTTAATTGGGTTGGGTTGGGATCAGATATTATTGGGCAAAGTTTATTAAGGTGGGATGGAGAAATTAATATGGGCCATTTGAGTTGGATTTTTATTTGAGAAAATTACCTGGATCCCTGCTTTTAAGTATTCAATTTCAAAAATCAGGTGTTATGTTTATTTAATCAAAAATCAGGTGTTAATTCAATTAATAATTAAAATCCAAATTAAAACCCAATTTATTTTCAGTAGCAGCCTCACTCCTCTCTCCCTCCGCACCCATCTTCTCTTCTCTTTCAACATAGCGGC